ACCGGACACAAGGCGCTACAGGGGCCCGCCTGTTCACTGGTCTCTCCCCGTGCCCGGCCCGGGGAGGGCGCAGGACACGGCTGTTCAGCTGTTCAGTGAGGAAGCGACAGCTGCCACCCGCAGACAGCTAGCACTGTCGCGTCTTTCGGAGGACGAGACAGAGTTATCAGTGCCAGAAAGCCACCGGCCCAAGGTGGCCGGGTGAGTGGGCGGCACAGCGGGGCGACGAGCCCAGACTGCCTCCAGGCCGGGGACGTGGCCAGCTTGACTTTCTGGCGTCCCCATGACTCGGTGACCCGGACAGGTCTTCAGGTGTCTGGGTTACGATACGCAGGCTCAACGGGGAGGGAGCCCAGCGGGAGTCAAGGACGGACAGGGCAGAGGTGCCCGCCACAGGGGCACGGGTCAAGGGCCCCCGGAGAACTGCCGGAGCGGGCTTCCGTGGTGGGAAACCCGTGGCCAGACCCACAGATGAGGGTGGGGAGGGAAGGGCTGCCTCAGGGGAGAAGGTGCTGCGGGCGCCTCACCCCTGCCCTCCGCCCCTCCACCCCACAGACTCACCCGACCAGAATGCCCTTGGAGCTGCGGATGAGGCCGACCAGCGCCAGCAGGCAGATGGCCACGTCGAGCAGCAGTAAGCCCAAGTAGCCCAGCCACCTGTGGGCACACGGTGGGTGTGGGTGTGCATGGGGCGCAGGGACGGGGGCATTGCTCGGGGAGGCATGGCAGAGCTGAGGGAACGGCCTGGGGCCCAGAGGGGCATCCGCGGGCAACTCCGGGATACGGGGCTGGGATCAGTTCTGGTAAAAGAAGTCCCGGGGAACACGGAGGTTCCACCCGTAACAACTGTGACACCGGGCTCTGAAGGCCACAAGCCCGTGGAGGGTGACTAGCACCCAGGCAGTAGGGGCCAGGCGGGGCGGACAGAAAAGAGGCCCAGCCGCACCTGTACCAGTCGTAGAGATCCACCTGCTCGGCCAGCACCTCCAGGGACACAGCCGGGTTCCTCCAGAAGGGGATGGCCGCGGTGTGGCCCAGCAGCGTCTCAAGAAGGCCCTGCAACCTCTGGACTGCGCGCAGGGGCTCTGGGCGCGTGGCCAGCTGCCGCTCCAGGCTCTGCAGGCTGGGCTCTGCCGTGCGGTTCAACGCGGCCGCGGTGTCCCACACCTGCGCCGGGCCGGGGGCCGGTGAGCCCGGGCGCAGACCCACTCCCGGCACGCTCCGCGCACACGCCCACCCCTCGGGCACGCACGCAGACACGGGGCGCAGGCACAGAGCCCCCCTCCCCATCGGACGGCCACTCACGCGGTCCTGGACCCCTGCCACCGTGCGGTTGGCGTGGCGGA